TTGACATATCTCCACGTTTTAAGGTCCCGCGAATCCAATACGACCGTTTTCCAGTGGACGTCTGTGTGTGTATATGTACGTATGTGCGTATGTGCGTACGTACGTTCGGAATTATTTTTCGCCTCGATTATCTCGAGAACAAAAACAAAATCAGCAATGAAAGAATTTTAAACTCGTGTCAAGATTGAGAAAACAGCATTAAAGACGCTATAATAGTCAATAATATGGAATTGTGTTCATAACAATTGAACATTGTTACTAACAAGTGATTATTGAAAATCGTAATATATAAATAATAAGTTTTAAATTGTTATAAACAATAAAAATAGGGATCCATTCTATATATATGTGTACTTTTAACGCATGATTTTTTCTTTTACTGAAATAAAGTAACTAACTGTGTCAAATGAATAAAAACAGACTCATTTCGTTTATAACAATTCCATTTGTTATAAAGAATGGAAACGGGTTCTATTCGAATTGTTTTTTCATTTTTTCCACTGGGAAGTTGGTCGTGTGGACCTTTCGGGTCGCACCCAGACCACTGCAGAGCACTGATATTTGAAATTTTTTATTCTTTGATTGAACCTTTCTACATGGACTCGTGCTTTGGCTATTTTTGAAGTTAAAATCTCTTCGAACTTTGAGAATTGTTGTTTTTCCTTTAAGAACGGAGGCCTGTAACATATCTATTTATTCGCTAAACATTTATCGGCTATTATGAAGCCTTTATCAACTATAATACGATCTCCAGGTTGTAAAAATTTTTTTATGTCAGAATCATTAAATATAGCCTTATCAAGGCAAAGTTGACCTGGCTGCTGTATAAATATTTCTGTGTAATCAAGTACAACTCGAACATCCTCAAACCCTTCAAAACAGAGAGGCATATTCTTGGAAATTTTTTCCTTAGTTGACTATTTGATTACATTTTTCAGACATAGACTTAAAACCTGGATCATTTCTAAAAAAACCTCGTTGACATGTGTTCTCAGAACAGCAGTGAGATAAAATAGCTAAACAGTTATAAGCCATATTTTGTTTCAATTTGACATAAGTCATAAGTATTTCATCACCAATACTCATTTTCGTGTTATAATATTCCAGCTTATCAAGAATTTCAAAAGATTCAATGCCAGTAAACGTATTCAATTTTGCAACAGTAGTTGAAAAATGAATAAAATTTTATTTAAGAAAAAGAGTTTCAGCATCTTGTACCTTATATATAAATAAATCTTATTTTTTTAATAAATTTCTTCTCAAAACTCTAGCATTTCGATCTTTACAAGTCGTATTTTTAGTTTTTACCTTCTACTTTTAAGATCTTCATCCAAACTTCTAATTCATCTTTTCGCTCCATTTATCCGAATAAATTTTTAAAGCACACGAAGCGATTTGTTTCTATGTGAAAGTAATGAAAACGTTAATATCCATCTTTATTATAAGCACTGTTACAACCTTTTACCACACAAACTGACTTTTTTTAAATTTTGCACGCGGAGAAAACGTTGCTAGCTCCATTATCAATAATGCAAATATGCAGTGAATTGTTTTTAGCAATGAAATTTAAAATCACGTGAATATTACTTTATCAGAGATTAAATCTTGAAAATATTGTTGTTGATGGAGACATACGATTGACAAATGTCAAAAAAGATTAGAAAATAAAAAAAAAACATAACAATAAAAATCAATTTGGAGCAGGTCAAAGAGAGCAAAATAATTATCAGAATCGGAATTACCAAAATTTTAAACCCTCAACCTTTAGAAGTGAAAACTTGTCTTTCTCGATACCAGTGATCTATTATTCGTTTTATTTAAAACATTAAAATTACTTGTTGTCACCGGACCATCAATGTATACGATATAAACTCATGATGTTTGAAAGTCGCGGATATCTGTTAGTTTCTTTAATAAAAGAAAAAAGCTTCAAAGTTAGGAAACTAACTGACCCAGAAGCCCATTATCCTTAATGGTATGAGTGCTGACTCTTTAAGAAACAGAAATCCAACTCTAATTGTTCAAATATAACATTAACCTCAAGGACCAACTAAAATGACCATAACAATATCTCTCGTGTAGGTTCGAATCCGTATGGTATCTTTTTTTTTGTTATAAATATTGTTTTTTTATGCATACGTACGTAAGATGCATAAATTAATTATTATATAAGGGTGCAACGTGTAGAATAAAATAGTAAAAAAACTGAAAAATAGTCTAGATTGAGTAAAAATTATTAAAAAAAGACGTACAATGTAGCAAATCGCTCGAGAAAAGTGCGTAGAATTAATTTTTCCATAAAAAACTATAAGAAATTATCTACAAACTCAAAAAAATGAAAGAAATGAAAAAAAAATTTTATAATTACTAATAAGTAATTATAAAAAATTTTTAGGAAACATAAATTAGTGATAGCTAGTGTGTAATAATGATAGAGTAACTAAAAAAATATATGAAGTAAAAAAAATTGCTTATAATAAAAAATTGTTTAAAAAAACAATTGAAAAAAAAATATTATAATTTTAATTGCGACACGATACGATCAAGCATTCTCTAGTATATATTATATTGTTAATAGATTACAATAGAATATGAAATGAATATTTGTGCTTATTGTTGCTGACTGCCCTTTATATTTGCCGAATTTAATACCATAAACTTATATTCTCCAAAAATTTGTCAAAGATTACGATAGACGTCTTATTCGGACGTTATGATAAATTACGATACGGAATTATATGCAGATTTTTGTTTTTCTTATTTTCCGTATTTAAAACGACAAGATTTCTGATTACGCTCAGTTACGATAGATTACAATAATTTCTCTAATCGTGATTTACGACACAAAACTCATTAAGAAGTTATTAAAATTGGGTCGATTAGCGGAACTTGAATTTTCATCATATCTCTACGTTTCATGGTATTTGCAAGCATACTGACCAATTTTTAGAATGATGTGTGTGTGTACGTTAGCATTTTTTTCGTTTTTGATATCTCAAGAACGGATAAAGATATTGACTTCAACCAAAATTACTTCGAAAGATATTTTCATAAAGAAGATCTGAGTAAAATTTGAACAAATTCAATCGAGCGGTTTTTTTTTATAGCAAAATAAGTACTAAAAAAATGAAAAGATAACCTATTTAAAATACTTTTCAGTCAAACAATAACATTTTCATTTGAAAATTGAGTCGATACTGACTAGACATTATTGTTTACAACTAAATATGACTTTCAGCAATTTCAGATTGTTTATAACAATACGCATTTGTTATAAACAATTCAAAATTGTATTTATTGATTAAGTAATGTGTTTGTTATGTATTGTTATTCATCGAATTATTTATTTCAACCTTATTCAAATATCAGCGAAATATGAACTCTTCTCAGTTCAACGCTCTGTTCCACATAAGGACAATTTCTTAACTCCATTGTTTCCTCATTTTCAATGTCCTAAAATCTTATTGCGACATTGACGTGGAAACTTGGGAGTTTTCCATTCTTGTCCTCAATTCACCCCTAAAATCGCCAGGGCCAACGCCTAACGTTGAACAGTATAAAAGCCGCTTCGAAATATTATTCGACGCTAAATCAATTCAAGCAAACGGTAAAAAGTAGGTTGATGGCCCGCGCAGGTTAACACGTCACGTTATAAGTGATAATTCTCGAGCATTCCTTCAGTTATCCTGAATAAGAGTTTATTACTCATGCCGCTCAGGATCTGTTGGAATGTCTTCAAAATCAAATCGTGATTGATTTCGCGTAGAGATTTAGTGTGTATCGGCTTGAATTTAATAATAGTTATAGTTATTATCTAATCACTTACTTTCTGGGGTTTTCACACTCAACAAATAATAAATATCTTATTTTACAAATCCGATTGAGTTCGGTAAATTATAATCAAACAATTATGTCACGAAACCGTGATTTACATTTGAATAAAAGTGCAATTAAAGTTATAAATTAGTTTTCTTCAATTCGACATCTATCCTTTTCTTGTATTTACCATTTCGAGCCTCTAAATTGATGTCTCTCTCTATCATGTTTGTCATCGAAATTCATATTACAACTAGCTGTCAACAGTAGGTATAACTTGCATATTTAACACATATTTTTCCTTTTTCTTTAACTCAGGTGAAGAACTTCGAGCTGGATAGAGAACCAGCAGACAAAATAAAGTCTATTAGGAAAGCAATCCCACAATTTTCGGACATAACATGTTTATCACATGGATTTGGATGCTTTCAATTGAATAATATTATTAATGATGAAATATGACTCGTAAAAATTACACATTATTTATAACAATACGAATTTGCTATAAACAATTAAAAATTGTATTAAAACATTGATTATAACTATTTAAATTTGTTATAAACAATTGCTAATGGGAAGTTCGTCGTGTTAGCACAGACAAAGTATGCTCAGGCCTATTTTTCCGGATTGATTACGATAGAGTACGATTTAAATTTTTATTCGGAAATAAATTTTTTTTTATAGGTACAGTAGCGTACGATAAAGGTATGTACAACCAGATAGAAATCCTGTCGTTTACTGTCTGGTTCTATCGGTTTGTTCTATGAGGGATAACACATGCTATATTCTATTCATATAAACATGTAATATAACATCCACATAACATGGACATGACAACTGTAATGTTATGCCAATGTAATTATAAAATGTACACCACAAAAATACCATCAACGGTTAACTTTAGAAATTTTTTACTTGCTATGGTGAATTTGTATAATAAGAATATCATAAAAATTATATAACACCGATGTAACCATGTAATATTTTTGTTACATTGCATAAAAGTAATTATTGTTACATAACCTTTTTACGCTTACGTTATATAAAAATTATATTACAAACACATAACTAACATTAACATAACATGTTATGTGTATGTTATATAACAGTAAGGTTCGATGTTCACTGGGTATTCATCTTTAAAATGCTTCATGTATTATTTTACTTGTCTTTCTATATTGCAGTGAATCATTGTGACGTCAGGAATATCCACGCCAATGACACCGGAATCGAACAATGATCATCAACCTCCAGGACGTGAAACTTGGTCTGGAAAAGTTGACTTTCTTCTTTCAGTTATTGGATTTGCTGTAGATCTTGCAAATGTCTGGAGATTTCCATATCTATGTTATAAGAATGGCGGTGGTAAGTAATAAAATTTTTAAAATTTTTCATGTCATAGATCATAATTATCGGCTAAATTTGTTAAAAATTTATTTAGAGTTATTTAATAACTGTTTAGCACCATAAAATGTTATCAAATTCTATCTATACTTATACTAGTTTACTCCTGTGACATCGTCCGCGTAGATGCTATTTAGTTGATGTGAACAGGAATAAATTGAAATAATTATTGTACGGCGATTCAAAACCATGCAATTTTTTCCACCAATTAGAGGAATCTCTTATTCGTTGTAAATGATCAATATGAAATAATTACGTTCCGTAACAACAGTTGATTAAGTGAAGTTGTGAATAATAAATTTGTAAGTTGGATGACCTGATTCTTAAAACATACTGTTTTATCATAAAATTAGGAGAGAAAGAATGAATTTGTGTAAATCAATAGTAGACGGGAAAAATTTGAATTTGTGGTTAACTTGTGAAGTAGAAATAAAATATAATTGGTATAAACAAAAGCAGTTTATTTTAAGTTATCCTCATAGTTGGAACAAGTTTATCAGTGGAACAAAATACATCTCGATGAAAAAAGAGACTATAGAGAATATTTAAGCAGCAGACACAAAATTATTGATGAGCTTGTCAGATAAAAGTTATGATTTTAACGCGAATTGATCGAGAGATGAATGAAATATTATGCTCTACAGCTTATCAGAATAAACGTGAGAAGTGAAACGCCTACTCACAAGTGATGTTGTTAAACGATTTAATCGTACTTTGAAAGAGCAAATGTGGCGTTATTTTACACATACTTCAAGATCTTAATCATCAAGATATCCCATTACCCCGTAATAGTAGCATGCTTTATTTTCCTGATAACACTACAACTTGCAACATTATTAAACGTAACAGTTTCGTCGGTACGGAGTGTATATCGCGCATTGAGATCGCTGATCGCTATGCGTATAGGAGGGACGCTTACCGCCACACAGAGGCCATCCCTCGGGGTGGATGCTCGAGCATGCGCAATGACTTCCAAGACGCTCCTCTGTGCGGCCGCAAGCGTCAGCCAATCTTTAGCATTGCACAAATCCATGCCGAGGACGCATAACCAACCACCGGCAGGAAGCACCGTTTATGTATAGTTAAACAAGTGAGTCCCCAACTCATTCGCGAAAGGCGTCTTATTTTATGGAATAACTTTTTTACTCGCGCCCGTCGTTTGTGAATATGAGTAGATATGTTAAGGTCTTTGCCGAACCAGACCCCCAGGTACCTAACTACCTCTGGGTACTTAATTTTGTCACCTTCTATAGTGATCTTTGACGGCTTACATTTGTGCCTGTCATTCTTTCTTCTGAGGTGTGGTTTATATTCGTAATAGTTAGGATTGTTTCTATCCCTGTAGTTCTTCTTGCCTTTAAGTTTGATTTCTCGCTCCATGAAGATTGCCTCTGTTTTAGTTTTTGATAACTCGAGCTTAGCATTCTTTCCTTGTTCAAGGACGCCAGTTGAAAGAAGAATTTTTATAAGTCTTTCGAAGATTTTGCCCAGTACTGATAGAAGATATATAGGTCGATATGATTTGGGGACTGCTACACCTTTGTCGGGACTCTTTAGGAGCATACGAATTGTTCCCTCCTGCCAAGCCCGAGGAAAGACGCCTTGGGACAAGCATTCGTTGAAAAATTTTTCTGAGAGGTTCACGATTGTACGTTTAACAACTTTTACTTCCAGCAAGTCTGGCCCTGGAGCTTTCCATTTTTTAGCGTTCGAACGACTTGTCTGAGTATTCCTTTGTTGAATGGTTCTGCATCATTTGTGCTGGGTAAGTTGAGAGCGTTTATCTTTATCCTGCTCTGTTCGTCTGTATCTATATATGGATGGTCATCGACCAGGTGTACTGCCAGCAATCGCTCGGCTGTTTCTTGAAAGTTCAGGGTTCCATTACCCTATTCAATGCGAAGTGTATTCATGACTTTTTCGGCTCGCATTTTGTCGGCCGCTATTTTGTATACCACACCCCATTTTTCCTCATTTCCGTGGGTTGTGACAAACTTTGTCCAGCTCTCTGTTTTCGCCTTTTTAATCGCTTGGGAGTGCCTTCTTACCTGCTGGCGATATGAAAGTCTCGCTGCTGTGATTCGGTGGGTATCAGCATCGAGCTTTTTAATGCGCTGGTATCTATAGCGTAGTCTGTAGACATTACGTTTTAAACGGGACAAGTGGAGAGTCCATCAATGGTCTAGCGGAAAATCAACTCATCGAAGACTCCCCAATCGGCTGCTTTGACATTGAACCGTCGGGTTGCCTCTGTGTTAGCTTTACCCTGCACTCCGCTTTGAATGCTCGGAACGGCATTCAACAGTAAATTAATTACGAAAGAGTGGAAAAATATTTAGACTGTATGTAGAGTAAATGATGAATGCAGGATTGCTGGGTTAGCACAATCGAAGGTGCACAATAATTAATTAACAAAAATAAACCCTTATTAATTGATAAGCAACAGTAATGAGAGTAATACCATAAGTACAGTAAAATAATTTATGTTAAATGATCATTAAAGAATACACTGAGTCCGTTAAATGCATCGAGTACACGATAACCTGGGTTGTAAAGCCGCGTTGTACACTTGAGTCCGTTGAGTTCTATTGAATGCTGATTTTTTCGAATATTGAGTTTTAATAAATGCAATGAGTTTCAATTGTGCATTCATCTTTTTACGAAGAAGTACAACAAATAAAGTATACTCAAAAGGGTATATTTATAATTATTTATTTATTTTTGAATAAAATTAAGTAGTACAGTCTTCAACATAGGAATGGTTTTTAATACTTTTTGATTATGTTTTAGCTTTTGATGTCTTCATATTCTAATAGCTTTGCACTAAACAATTAAAAATCACTAAAGTTTATTGTGAATTACCTATATAGGACGAAGCCAGTGTGGCACTTTACTGGATACCAAAAAGGCAAATCATATTTTCCATTAACGGTTTGAAGACTACAAAAATTGTCTATATAATCACTATTGACATTACTCGATTGTTAAAAAAAAAGTAAATAGCTATTATAAACATCGATTAATAATAGCATACAAGATACTATCAATCAAAATCGTAGTTTATCACTATAAATTGATTTTAATTGATGAGAATAAATATCAGTGCTCTGTAGTAGTCTGGGTGCAGACTAATGCAAATTTTATTGTTATACACGAATAAAGTATGTTTTCATTTATCTGATACGGTTGGTAATATTTTTTTAGTAAAAGAAAAAATTATGCGTTAAAAGTACTCATATATATAGAAAGGGTCCCTATTTTTATCGTTTATAACAATTCAAAACTTATTATTTAAATATTACTATGATCAATAATCACTTGTTAGTAACCATGTTCAATTGTTATGAACACAATTCCATATTATTAACAATTATTATTGACTATTATAGTGTCTTTAATGCTGTTTTCTCAATCCTGACATGAGTTTAAAATTCTTTCATTGCTGATTTTGTTTTTTAAAATTTTTTTTTTCGATGAAACATTGTCACCATATTTTCATACAAGTATTCTAATTATTTAATATTCATGTTTTTCGAAAGATTTTGAAATTTTGTCTAAAAAATGGTATAATTTATAAATTGAGAAATTCAGGTCATATTCCATTTTTGCTAGTTTTTTGGTTCTGCAAAAAAAAATAACTGGGCTGATTTCGTTGAAAACCGAATCAGTTCTAAGTTGCGAAATTACATACGTACATACACACACACACAAGCGTCCACTGGAAAATGATCGTATTCGACTCTGGGGACCTTAAAACGTGGAAATATGGTAAAATCCGGGATTCGCAAAATCGGACCCATTACTATAACTTCCTACTGGGACGGTAATAATATCAAATGATCATTGTTATAAATTTCAATTCGATTTTAAAACTATTCTTACTGTAACAGATTTTTTCCTGTTACAGTTACACATAGAAATTCTAACACTTACGAATTTTTCTATTTGAATTACAGGAAAAAACTGTAGTATTAACAGATTAATGAATTATTGCTACTGAAATGGCTCCTGGCGAAGAGGGTGATTTCCGCGCCAGGAGAAAAAGAAGAACTAATGGTTTTTAGATGGATAGGAGAAAGGATGTAGAAATAGGGGATTCCTGTGATATTTTGGGAACTGTAGGGAGTCCCTAAGGATCAGATGGACTGGATAGGTTCGAGATATGTGCTGGCAAAAGCGCGGGAAAAGTTGGATAGGATGTTTTCTCTTTTCTACACCCAGGAATTACTTCATACCATTTCTGAGAAGTTTCTGTCGTGACAGAAGCTTTTTATATAGAACGGAATAGCCGGGTATTTCAGGGTCTCGGTTCTTGAAGCCGTCAATTGAACTAAGAATGTGAATTTTTATGATTATTCTGTTTAATATATATGCAAGTAGTTTCTCACTTACCTTATTCCTCGTTTGCTGGTGGTAGAGAAGTTTATACGAGAGGATTATTTTACGAGCGAATATGTATGTAGCGAGCGAATCGAATAACAAGAGAATACATGAGTTCTAGGCAAGCGACGATGAGCTGTGTTACACACGCAGTTTGCGGGGGTGTGAAGCACCCGTCTGCACGTTGATGATGTTCGTAGGAGGTCTCCAGTATTCCTTGGAGGTTCTGAGGTCAATTCCTGTAAATTAGCAAGGCAGAAAGACTTAACCCTAGGGAATTCTCTTCCACGAGAGATACAATATAAAATCTTTATTCAAAGATATCAGTGTACAACTCGCAGGATTTACCAATCCGCGACCTGAAGCAGACCTGCTATTACACGCGTTACAATGAATCAATCGTACTTGTCCTAATCACTAGAATACTAGCCGGCTACGATGCGGCGGTAACAAACAAAGCATATGCCAGAAGGGCCGATAAATATCTTAATTAATTTATTATAACAGTTATAATTAACGGGGGCTCGCCCTATGCCCTTTCGCGGTATAGTATAAAGATGTCAAACTCACGCTGAAGATAC